ATTATCTGTCTCCTTGATAGTCATATCAGTAGTTAGGTGTTTGGTCACATATGGATTTTGTAGATATATGCAAAGTGTTTACAAATTGCTTTACAGCTATACTATGGTACATGAAAACATTGTTTATCCAGTGCTGGGAATCAAACCAAGGACCTTGCTATGCTAAGCAAGCACAGCCCTTCCATATTTACCTATTGAAACTATATTTAGGTGCCAGTGTGAGAGGAGCTAGTTCAAGTGACTAGCAACCCCTAAGGTTAGCCAAAGCCCACTTAAATCAATCATCAAATAAATTTTCCACATAAACATACAGACATGGTGGCCCTTGCTTATAATTCTAACACTCTGGAAAGTTTAGACAGGAGGATTCCACATTCCAGCTCAGCATGAGCAATTTAGTATGACCTGTCTCAAATAAAAGTTTTTTAAAAAGATCTGGGGATGGAGCTTAGTGCAAAGGTCTTGAGTTCAATACTCAGTACTGAAGAAAAAATAAAGTAAGTTTTTAGCCAGGCATGGTGGTATACACCTATAATCCTAGTATTTTAGAAGCAGGAGGATCACAATTTATGTGGCAATTTAGCAAATTAAGGAGGTTCTGTATCAAAAATGAAGTTATTTCAAAAGACTGGAGATGTGGCTTAGTGTGAAGATCCTGGGTTCAACCTCAGTACTATGACTAATTAATTAATTAATTAAAGATTTTGTAAATGCACTGCAACACCTCATTTTTATCAATGTTTATCATACTTAACCTCATTTTTATCATTATTTTCAGAAAATATAAGATAGGTTAGATATATAAGATCTAGGTTAGATCCATAAGAAAAATAATCACCTACATTAGCCTAACAATATTTAATTTACATTGCCTTTGGTGATGTTTATTTTTCATTTTTTATATTATGAATAACAGTGGATGTGTATTTGTTCATGAACATTTTTTTAGTGTTCTGTTGGATTATTTCCTTAGAAATTTCCCAGTAGTATTTCTCAGTCAGCAGACGGACTTCATTTTGGCTGTTGATAGGTACTGCCTCAAGTATGTTCCAAATAGCTTATTTGGTTACAACTATGTCAATATTGTATTTATTTGTCTTGTTTAGATGTTTTTAAATACAAAAATAAATTGTAAATGTTAAATGGTACAAAAATGTTGCTTTGATTACTAAGGACAATTTTTTATTACTTTTTTTTCATTTACATTTTGCTTATATGATTTATCTGCTTGAGAGTTTTGTTCATTTACCACTGAGGCATGATATTTGAAAGTTCAAATTTAATTTGTATATATTTTATCAACCTACTGATACATATATAAAAAAAAATATATATATATATATTTTTTTTTTTTGAGGCAGCATCTCCCTTTGTAGTTTAGGCTGTCCCCGAACTCACTATGTAGCCCAGGCTGGTCTTAAACTCAGAGCAATCCTGCCTCAGCCTCCTAAGTGCTGGGATTACAGGCATGCACCACCACACCTGGCAGATACTTATATTTTATATAATATATTTGCCTATTAACTTTTACTATATTTAATTGAATATATATATATTTTGGGGGGGTTGAGACAAGGTCTCACTATGTAGTTGAGACTGACCTGGAACTCACTATGTAGCCCATGCTGGTCTAGAAGTCATAGCGATCCTTCTGCCTCAGCCTCCCAAGTACTGGGGTTATAGGCATGTGCCACCATGCCTGGCAATTGTATACATATATTTAAATGTTTTGTTGTAATTTCTATGGTAATGAATCTAGCAATCTTTTGAATAATGATTCTCTAGCTTGCTTTTAAGAAATAGAGGAACACTGCTCCGCTGCTTATGGCAGTGCAGACTGGTGCAATCACTGTGAAATCAGTATAGAGGTACCTCAAAGAACTAAGATTGTAAGTCTCATTTGACCCAGCTATTCCCCTGCTGGGTATCTTCCCAAAAGAACTAAAAGAATCATACCACAGTGATATATGTGCAACCACATTTATAACAGCACAGTTTGTAATAGCTAAAACTTGGAAACAGCCAAATTGCCCATCATCTGGAAACTGGATGAAGAAAATGTGTTTTTTTTATAAAATGGAGTACTACTCAGCCATAAAGAACAAGAAATTAGAGACATAGCTAAATTGATGCACATCAAAGCCATACTCAAGTGAAATAAAAAGGACACACGTGTGTAAATATGGAATCATTTCTCTGGTATGAGAAACAAAGTGTAAGTAAGGACTAAAAGGTATAATAGATAATGGGAAATAGGAAGAAAAGGGGCAAAGGGGAAGGGGAAGTGAGAGGGGAAGGGGAAAGGAAAGAAGGGATAGAATTAATATGAGAAAATGAAAAAATGGAAACAAAGTCTTTGTAAACAGGGAGGAGTAGAAGGGTAGAAGGGGGGGCAGGAGAATGGGGAAAATATACAAACCAAGATGGATTACATAAAGGTACAAATGTCCAATGATGAACGCCATTATATTGTATACCTAAGAACTAGAACCTATTCTTAAATATGTGTTTTGCTTTATCAAGACAAGGACCATACCTATTTTATTCATCAGAATTTATAAGATCTAACACAGAGCCAGCACACAGAAAGTAAATATCATTTTTCTTATAATAATTATAATTAATAAAGGATTAGATTTTTTTCTTTTAAAATACATCAAATTAACTGTATAGCAGTTGTGTAAAATCAGTACCTTTTAAGTAGGGCATATTTCATCTTTTCAACAAATGAAATATTCACTGAATTGTTAAATTCTTTTCATTCGAAATGCATAATTTCTCTGTCCAAAATATCTTGAAAATTATACTTTAGGGTTCTCTTTTGAATGTAGAAAGATGAAAAGAATGTAACTTTTATCCATAAAACAAAAAAAAAAGCTAAAACTTTCTGAAAATCTTTAAGTTTTCTTGAGCCCATCAGAAAGCTGGGATACCAGGGAAGTCAATGAACCTGAATCCTCAGAAAAGGAAGGAAACTCAAAGACCAAATGTGAACACTGACTCGCCTGGGCAGAGCTTAAGAGGAATGCATGGTTGCTGTGTCCTTGAAGAATTCCCATACATTTGCAACAAATTGCTAAAAGCTGAGTGTTGACTAGCATGAGAATACAAACCCAAGAAGCAGGGGAATCCATATCTACTGATGGCGTCCTCTTCATGGGCCTTCAGTGATGCCCATAAGAAAGATTAAAGACACAGAGGGAAACCGAGGACGGCCATTCTAGTGAAGCAAGTATGAGGAACAGGACTCTTAGAAGAGTAGAGGACCCTGCTCCAGCCCTTCTCCCCTGTGAAACAAAAGCCCTACACCAAAGTGACCAGAAAATTCAGGCCTGATTAATGCAAAATATGGAAATATGTAAAACAAGACAAAATATCATATATCTAGACATGTCCCATTCAAACAGCTAAAAGCAAAGATAAAGAAAATATCATAGAGGCAGCCAAAAATAGGACATATTCTTTACAGAGGAGAAAAAATAAGAATATAAGACTTACCAAAAGTTATGAAACCCAAAGTACACTGACAGGGTATCTTTAAAACATTTTAAAAAATAACATTCACCTGATTCTATACCCTGAAAATATTCCAGAATTTCAGAACCTTTCAGAAGAATGAGGGTGAAAAAACCACTACATTGTTTCTCTTCACTTCACTCTTGATACAACTTCTAACCCAGATATATATGCTCTCTTATCACATAGCAAGTAATTCTCCAGGGGAAGCCAACTGGGTGTCCAGTAATTCAGTTTATTTTTGACACCATATACCTAGACATAGTGTCACATTCCACTGAGTAACAGCTTGGCTCCCAAGACTGCCCTCACTTCAGACAACAGTCAGAAGTTCTAAACTGTTTCTTGACCAACTGGTGATAAATTAGGATTCCTATAATCTCATCTCTGGGCTGGATAATTGGTTAGAATGCCTGACAGAATTTAGAAAAAGATGCTTCACTTACACTATATACTTTATAAAGCATACAACTCAGGAACAGACAGTCTTCCAAAATGCACAGGCCTGGGTATGTGGGATAGTCAGTGTTCTACGCCAACGCTGGCACCCTCCAAGCATATCACATGTTCAGTACCTTGGAAATGCACCAAAACTTGTACAATAATTTTACATAGCTTAATCTCCAGCACTTCCTCACCCCACCTTCCATGCAAGCTGATAAATGGGGCTAAATAGTCCAACCTTCTAGGGACTGTACTCTAAGTGACCTCACCAGTAGAAATCCAGGTCTTATAGGAAAAGCCCCATTATAAATAACAAACGACACTGTTATCACTCAAGAAATTCCATGAGCTTTAGGAGCTAATGGAACTGGAAACAAAGACTATATATTTCTATAGAGAGATAAATATATATATGTAT